TCTATCAAATTAAGCTGTAAAATGCAACTGTTGTGATTTGGGTAGACATCCTTTTTGGATTTTGATATTAGCACTCTTCATGGTTTATCTATCCATTGTTGCATTATAGATATGTCGCTCTTCATTTGACTGGTTAAATATATATTTTGTTTGAATTTAATTGAGGAATTTAACATATTCTTGTTATGCTTTCCATATGACAATGAATGACATTGACCGTCCTGCTCAGGGATTGGACCGGAGTCCTACTTGCATTGTGTTTGGAGTATTAGTTATGTCTAAAATGTGTTTCTTATTTATTTATATAGGCCTTAAGACTAAGGTCTAATGAGTTAAAGCTGGAGAGGCAATTGGAGAACTTAGAAGCTGAAATCTCTTCATACAAGTACGTCATCCAATATTATGGCCATTAACAAATAACCTCTGGTTCTTAAACCAATCATCACATTAAGTCCCTCAGTAATTTTGACATGGTTATTTCTTTGTTTGGTAAAGTTCCAGAAATGGCTATTCATGGAAATCAAGTGTTTTGAATGACTAGGCTAAGCATTGCACCTATTTAAAACTTTTTGTTTTGTTTTTTTGCGACAAAAAATATCATTGAAAAAAAGTTGAGAACTTCTAGGATAGGCCATACGGAAAATAAAAAGCCTCACCAACCAGAGGTAAAGGAAAACAAAGTGAGACGGGAATTTCATTGGTGTTTCATACAAATTTTAGGGGGAACTTCGAATCTTTCTGTGATCACAGTTCAGTTAAAAGCCAGAGATGTTATTTTATGCATGAGTGCTTCAAAGTTTTACTGTGAGGCTTGTGGTTAGAATGAAATAATGGGTTGTATTTTTCACTTCAACTTTGTGTAGTTTTTGTCTTTGCTCTACCCTTTTTAGTTACTCCATGTGTAATTAGTTCATATTTTGGAGCAATCTTAGTTTTCCTTATTTTTACGTCTCATTTAATCAATGGAAGGTTATCCGTTATAAAGGATTTTTGTCTTTAGCTGTTCTTACTAACTGGAGCTTAAAAATAAACTATAATTTTATTGGATCTTGCAGGAAGAAAATGTCTATCATGGAGAAAGAACGTCAAGATTTTCAGTCAACTATTGATGCTCTTCAGGAAGGTAAGTGTAACGAAGATTGTCATAAAAATAATGTTTGTAATTTTAATAGACTAATTTGAATGCTTTACTATTTTTCTATTTATTTTCTTATTAATCTCTAATAGTGCTAGAAACAATACATTTGAGATATTTGTTTATCGGAGATGGTTGATTGTTTGACAATCTCTTTTGTGATTAATTTTTTCTGCGTGGAAGAGAGTTTTGAATTAAATGGGACCTTAATTGTTCTTGAAAATAATTGCCTGTTTGTGTTCTGTTTTTTAGAAATGATAACAAGTAGATCCACCACTTTTTTTCTTTGCTGTTTCGGTGTTATTTGTTAGCATTTTTCCTCCTATCGTGAACGGTCTGACGTGATGATGTCATTTTTTGGTACACTTTAAGAAGACCCTTCTGGTTTCCATCTTTTAACTAACATCATAGTTATCTGTCATTTCATCCATTCTTTTTAACAGAGAAGAAGCTGCTGCAGTCGAAGTATCGCAAAGCTTCTACAAGTGGAAAGTCTATTGATATTAGCAATACTTCTAATAGAAAAGACATGGCGACATCTACAGAAGAGTTAGGTGATGAGAGCTTCCTTTTTCATCTCTTTTTCATAAGTTTACTTCACCCATCTTTTTTCTCAAGATAAACTTTGTCACAGTAATTTTTTATTTACTTTTGTATTCAATGTTTAATTCGTGCAATGAATACAGATACTACTCCTGGTACTTCTAACCATGAAGTAAAAGATGGAGCATCTTTTACTGAAGATGATACCTCCGGAGTTCCCATGCTGCTTGAAAATGCTACTACTGAAGTTTCATCAGTCATTGCCCCTCCCGATCACATGAGGACGGTTCAAAACATCAATGCTCTAATGGCTGAGGTAACATCCGTAAATGAATATTAACTTTTTTTTTTCTTGTTATATACAAGAAAATATAATATAAATTATGTCTAGTTTCAGGAATTAAGAATTCGCAATAGAAGTTGTAATACTTATCTTGGGGGTTTTATCATCTTTTTTTATTTTCCTTTTTTTGTGTGATTATTGTTTCAATTGTTTTAGCTTTTGTTCCCTATTGGTTTTTGCAGTCATTAAAGTGAGTAATTGACTTCTTCTCTTGTCTTTCAATAATAAACCCCGGTGATTTGGGGAGCGGGTTATCTCTACCCCTTGCCCTTAAGTTGACTTCCTTTTCTCGATATGAATATACAAGTTTCCGTTTCATATATATACACACACACACATATACATATAAAGAAAGAAAGAAGAAGGGAGTACTTTTTGGCCAATTGAGCATCCTTTTCGTTTGGTTGGCCTCTTTGTCTCAGGAGAGATGTCATGTCCCTCTTATTGATATTATGGTTTCTTTCCTAACCACGTAGAAAAGAGGAATAAGTTATTTAATGTATCCAATATTATTGACTTGTGATGATGAATTTTATTGATTTGCAGTTAGCTTTAGAGAAAGAGGAGTTAACACAAGCTTTGGCATCTGAGTTAACTGGCAATTCTAGGTTGAAGGTAAATTTTTGTCCAATCTGAATATTGTACACACTATCGGTTCTTTTATACATGTTCACCTTAATAGCAATTACCCTACCTTCAAAAAATACAATTGGCTGGAGATTCAAGCCTGTATGTTAGGAACTGAATTTTAGACTGCTCATATTGTCCCTCAACCTGAGTCTTTTATGTTTGTACATTTATTTGTTTCTTTATGAAGGAGTTGAACAAAGAGCTCACTAGGAAACTAGAAGCACAAACTCAAAGATTAGAGCTTTTGATTGCTCAAAGTATGGCTGGTGAGATTGTTCCTGTGAGGCATCTTGATTCTCGCGCAGTGCATCATGAAAATGAAAATATCGTACTTGCAGATGAAGGCGATGAGGTATTATTATCTTTCATTAAGCCATCTTAGTCTGCCATGTGTCCTGTGTTGTTTGTTGTGTTTGTATGCACCTGCACGTGTTCCGGTGTGGGGGGTGGGATTAAGTATAAATAAATGCTGCTTATCTGCATTCAGAAAAAAAATTGGCGAGCCTGGCTTACTGTGAGATCCCACATCGGTTGGAGAGGGGAATGAAACATTCCTTATAAGGGTGTGGAAACCTCTCCCTAGCAGATGTGTTTTAAAATCATGAGGTGACGACGATACGTAATGGGCCAAAAGGGACAATATCGGCTTGCAGTGGGCTTGGGCTAGCCTCTAAGGGGTGGATTGTGAGATCCCACATCAGTTGAGAGAGGAACAAAGCATTTCTTATAAGGGTGTAGAAACTTCTCCCTAACAGACACGTTTAACGAGCCAAAACAGACAATATTTGTTAGTGGTGGGCTTGAACACTTAGAGTATAGTTTGATCTTACCGTTGGAATTAGTTCAGTCAGGCATATAAATTTTCTCATTCTTAGGTGGTGGAGAGAGTTTTGGGATGGATTATGAAGCTCTTTCCGAGTGGCTCATCGCGCCGAAGAACCAGCAAGCTTCTTTGAGATTGTGGGGGGTGATTCATTGACAGTGGAAGGCCAATGCTTGAAGCTTCCATTGTTCTTTGATCCTTCAAGTTGCTAGATAATACATTGGAGACCATAAGTTGTACATTTCGTGTCGGTTTGTTAATTCTTTTCTACATCAAAGAAGCAGGCTACCCTTGACCTTTTGAGGCCATCCAAATTGTTATTTCTTCAAGGAAGATGGAAAAGGAGCTTCACAAATTTTGGTGGGAGTGTGTTACTTGATATACACTTAGACAGGAAAGGAAATAGGGTTTTGAGTCGTAATGTTTGTTTTTTGTTCTGCACTTCATTACTCTTTTGCCTACATTGTTTCTGTAACCATCATGATAACCTTGAAGGGATTGAGTTGAGCCCAATGGTGAAAATTACCACATTGTTTCATTTTTCAATACTGTTCGTGAGAAATCTCCGATGAACGATAGAATTAGATCCATTTTATATTCTAAGGAATTTTCTTAGGTTCGAGTCGAACGAAAATAACAATATGGAGTATTAATCATTTTTTTTTGTTCGTGAGGATCCCACCACCATTGTATGGAAGCAACTTCCTAAGTTGGGTAAAAGTGCAACTTGATAGACTAAAAATCCTCGTATTACCGGTTCAAATCCGCTATTGAAAATAAATGTCTAATGTGTAGGAAATGGCCGGTACCGCTCAGTTAGTAGAGCAGGGGACTGGAAATCCTCGTATTACCTCTAATGTGTAGGAAAGGAAATGGCCGGTATAGCTCAGTTAGTAGAGCAGGGGACTGAAAATCCTCGTATTACCGGTTCAAATCTAGTATGAAAATAAGTCTAATGTGTAGGAAAGGAAATGGTCGGTATAGCTCAATTATCAGTTAGTAGGGCAGGGGACTCAAAATTCTCATATTACTGATTCAAATCTGCTATTGAAAATAAGTCTAATGTGTCGATAATGACACCAGAAATAATATTGTTTCCGTATTATCCATAAGTGATTTGATTAATCACTAAGGCATGACTTAGTATAGAATAACAAATTTGGAACTACGGTAGAGAGCAAAGAGAGATGAAAACAACTTTGAGAGAGATGAAAACAACTTTGCAAATCTAGACTGCATCTAAATGAGCGGAATCTTGTAGCAGTTCAAGCATAGTTAAGAAAGATTCAATTTAGTTCTTGCTCGAAACGATATTAAGAGGAAGTTAATTGGCCTATTCTACTATATCCCAATGGAATGGACATCATCAGAACTTGGAAATGCGTGACTTGCTTGGATATTGAAGTTCGAGTTATTAGCTCATCAGATCAAGTAATCAGTTTCAAACTCATACCGTACACGCTTCTATTTAGTAAATTATGATAGAAAAAGGAATAGTAAATTATGATAGAAAAAGGAAGAGGTAAGAAAAATGAAGCCTTGTATTATCTTGCTATGCTTTATTACATTAAAAAAGCAAGAGGATTTGTATCCAAATTCCAAACAAAATATTACCTAATAATAATAAACTTCATCAATCAAATTAATAATTTGAATTCTTTATTTAAAAAAAAAAAAACTTTGGTGTTCTTCATTTCTTGTCACCCATTCCAAGTGTTTCCTTCACTGTGTCCACAGCATCTTGAGCCATATGAACCATCTTCTCTCCAGTCTGCAACAAAATAAAGCATCACAATTCAAACCCGAACCCGAACCCAAACCCGAACGAGAAGCTCTTTAGGTGTATTTTTATCAAACAAAATTATTTGGAAGAACCTGTTGGAGAAAAGTAGCAGGTTCTTGCTTGTCATGGTGGGCAGAAAGTTGAGCTTGAGCTGAATCAGTAGGCAAAATGTCTCTTGGTTCATTGCCTGTGGATTGGGTGGCTTCCATCCATTCTTCTGTTCTTGCCTGCCTCACCATTTCAGCCAATTCTTAACCATTTCCAAAACTTTACCCTCAAAAAATCACTATTCACAACCTCGACATCGAGATCGTTCAAATCACGCTCGATATCTATTTCACTTCAATTTCTTACTCCGTTTCGATCAAAATCCAAACCCAAAAAAAAGTTCTCGTATTTAAAAAATGGTTTCAAAAACAAAAAAACAAGAACATTCCATAATCAGACATACAAGAAAGTACGATAAAACATAAAGAACGAAGATCGAAACATATTTTCAATCACCTGAGTCAGGCTTTTGGTTTGGTCATCATTGAAACTTTGCTGCATGCTAGACATATTTTTCTCTTTTTTTTTTAACAATGGAAGATTATTGTTTTTTATTTTTTTTTATTTTGAAGTTTATTGAGGCTGTTTATATAGTCTAGAGGTTGCTTTTTTAGAGTGACACGTGGAGGAGAGAGAGAGAGAGATTTGACTCACTCAAAGCTTAAAAAGTTGAGAATAGAGAGAAAAATATGGGGAACCAATTAGTTACCAAAATAATTTGATTTACTTTAGTTGTTACTTAACCTTTTGAATTAGTAATTTTATTCAAAAACTTTAAATAATGTAATTATTAGAGTACAATTATAGGTATATAACTAAAACATATTATTTTTATATTAAATTAATTAAAATATTTTCCAGATATTTTTGAATATTTTTTAGATTTTTTTTTAATCGAAGGGTATCATTGAAACTTTTAAAAGTTCAAAAATATTTATTTTTGAACGCAGAATTCAAAGTATTTTTTTTATATTAATTTGACCATATTTTTATTGGTTGAAACCTAGGAGAAAACTAAAAAAATTATATATATATATATAATATATTAATATAAACTAAGAGACATCAATGAAGATGTGAAAAAAATATTTTTGAAATTATCAAAAGATATTTCAATTCATGCGAAGAAGAATGAGTTCATGTTATCAAATTTAGGTGGATTACAATTTAAAAATAATTTAGATTTATTGTATTTTATTAATGTATTTTAAGACTTTTAATTTACTTTAGGTTAGAATTACGTAATGGTTAATCATGGGTATTAAATATGAATGTTACAACTCTCCTTTCCTAGTTTTATTTTGAGGCTATATAAAACTATGTATGTTGTATTTGTAGGGAGATTTGGAAAAGGTAGCAAAAGAAGCATTTGTGCTCTTCTTTAGCCAATTATTAAGTTTCTTTGCAATTCTACGTAATTTAGGTTGCATGTAGAATCATTCAAGCTCGACATAGTGGAATGATTCGAATCTCAATAAAGTGTTCTTGTCTTGAGATATTTGAACAACAAGAATCATTCAAGCTAAACATGATTGATCTTGCTTGTGAAGTGATTCGAATCTCAATCAATGTTCTTGTATTGAGATATTCGATCAACAAGGTAATCCGAATCTTACTCCCCTTGTAGTGATTCCTTATCTTATCAATATAGGGTCTATAAAAAAATTTATCCACTGAACTCGAAACAGAAACGGATTGAGTAAAAAAAAATGCTATATAATCGACTCCAACCCAATCAGTAGTGTTGGGGTTGGTTATCTGGAATTTCATATTCTACGTACACCCCTAGTTTTTCTTGTTCAGTCTAAAAGACTCATTTTTAATATGAATTTTTGATGGGTGAAATTATAGGACCTCTAAAAAAAAAATAATAATAAACAAATAAATAAACGCATGAACTATGGTATGTATCTGATTTTTTTTAATAATTTTTACAAAACAAAAAATATTAATGGTTTGAACACTATAAAAAAAGTAAACCATAATAAAATATTTAAAATATAAATAATAATTGAAATATCTGGATAATATCTCGAAACTACGTGAATATACAATTTTTTTTTTAAAAAAGGGGGAAATAATAAATGTTAGTTTTTTAATTTGAAAAATAAAATAAAATAAAATTTAATTTTCAAGTATAATAAAATACTATATTTTCATTCTTATTCGTAGTATCTAAATTTTTAAAAAGGTAAAAAAAAAAAAAAAAAAAATCTGATTCTTTGAATTCAATTTAGAATCTGTTGAAAAAAGACCTCACATTATATTTATATTTATTAAAGATGAATATAACATTAATTATTAATTAAAATTGAAATTGAAAAAAGAAGATTAAAAAATAATTTTATTTTAAAAATTAAAAGCTCAGAATTAGTGATGGGTTTAATTGTTTTAATATAAGATTTAAAATTAATTGGGATAAATTAAAATATTGTGGGTGTAAATAGCAATTTGTAGTTGCGGGTGTGAATAGAACTCTTCGAAGAAGAAAAAGAAAATAATAAAAATTAAAAATTAAAACATTTTGATTTTCTGAGGAGGTTCTTCTCTCTTTCGATCTCTGCTTCGTTTCTTCTTCTTCTTCTTCTTCTTCTTCTAGGTTTTCTTCCACCGGAATGCGTTCTTCTTCTTCTTCTTGCAGGAGATCCTTCTCGATAATTTAAAGCCCTTTCTCGCCTGAATTTCGCTATCTTCTCCGGCGATCATTGCTTCTAAATTAATACAACACCGCACCTTTCTCTATTTCACTTTGAATTTTGATTAATTTCCTCCAATTTCTCCCTTTTCCCGATCGAAATGCCGGAGAGTTTTGGAGCATGACGTTTTCTCTTGTGAACGATGACAGCTTCATTCGGGGTTTTTGACGAATCAAATTCTCCTTCCACATCGACTCCACCGCTCCCGCCTCACGTTTCTCAGCCTGGTCCGGCTTATCCCTTGAGCAGGCAAAGGTGAGGGTGGAACTGAATGATTATTTGATGCGATGTTCGTGTTTTGATTGTGTGGATGATTGCCCTCTTTCTTATGCGGGAGGTTTGGGTTGTGCGAGGATCGGCATATGTATGGCCAAGATTTCTTAAATCTTGGGTCTGAATTTCTAAGATTTTGATGTGTTTCCCCCAGCCTGAAAGTTAACTGGGAAAATGTTAATCGAGCGCACGAAGTTTGATTAAATACACAAATTTTGATTTTTTCTTCTTCTTGTAAACTAGTCTATCTTGATTTTCTAGTGCTATTTTAGTTTCTTGTGTTACTGTAGTAGTAGTTTGGCATGGAATCGTTGCCATGGTCTTTCGGAGTCCGGAGGGTCGAGGGGATGGAGCGACGATGGCTCGTACTCTGTAGCTACGGCTAATTGAATGATCTAATTGGACTTGACCTGTGTATTTCTAGTTAAAAGGAGAGAGTTTTCATTACTATGCTGATTGTTCAACTCTCCCATGAAATAAAACTGCGAGTACGATTGAAATTTTACAAATGTCTGCTTTGTCTAGAATTAACACGAGGATTCTTGGTGTTATAATTATCATCATGAGGACATGGAGCATTGGAACTTGTTTTGGCTTATGGGATTTTGCTATATTGATGTGATATAGATCAGATAGTTCATTTACTATTTAGGGTTCTTGGGTTTTGCAGACTTAACTCATCTTACTGCCTAACATTGATCTCTTTTTTTTCAGAGTCGGCAATGTTTTTCAACTTTTAGCTCAGAGGGAGGTTTCTCCTCAAACTAAACGATCATTGAGGAGGTTTTGGGGAGATTCTCATGACCGCCAATGTGATCCGGCTGGGCCAAGATGTGAAGCAGCCAGAGATGCTAAGCGGGGTCTTATCTCATGGTAGTGCTTTGTTTCTTATAATGCATCTGAATGTCTAATGCAATAAATGAAATAATGAGAAATATTTTGCTTATTTGTTTACCCTGCCATTTTATGTTGTGATACTTCCTCGTTGTTACTTCGGCCCTTATTGGGATGTGTGTTATTCAACTTGGAATCTTGTCAGGGTCGAGGCTGAATCACTACGACATCTTTCAGCTAAATATTGTCCTCTTGTGCCTCCTCCAAGGTCAACAATTGCAGCAGCATTCAGCCCTGATGGGAGAACGCTTGCTTCTACGCAGTGAGTTGCTGTTAAGGGATTTTTTTTTTGCTACAGTGTAGTGATGAAGCTCCATGTTTAGTATAATTTAGTGTAGATGCTTATTTCTGTTTATTGTTTTCATGCCTGCAGTGGAGATCATACCGTAAAAATCATTGATTGCCAAACTGGGACCTGCTTAAAGGTGCTAAGTGGTCACCGAAGAACCCCTTGGGTGGTAAGCATGAAAGTTGCACTCTTTGTTCTTAAGAAATCTTTCATTTCTTTCAGCTTATCATACTTGTGAACAATAGTGTAATATTCTTTAATGTTTCTTATAAAATAGATTAATATAAAAAATAGTTTGGTGGATTGTTTAGCCTTTTATTTGTTCTTTAAAAGTCAATTTCATTGGGTATACTTATTAACATATGTGGCTTAGTCGTTATTTTCTTTTTGCCATGGCTTCATTGATTATTAGTTTTTTGTGTGGCAAGTTGCTCCAATTTTCTGGATTCGTCTTCTGCTATTCTTTCAGGTCAGATTCCATCCACTGTACCCCGAAATTGTTGCTAGTGGAAGCTTGGATTATGATGTTCGACTGTGGGATGCAAACACTGCAGAATGCATTGGCTCTCGTGATTTCTGTAATTTCTTTCTCTAAGTTCTTTGCATCGTCTTGTCTGAATGGTTGGATGGTTGGAAATTTTTGTATGTTTATATGAGTTATTGTTCAACCATGTGCTCCTCCATGCAGATCGTCCTATTGCATCCATAGCTTTCCATGCCCAAGGTGAGCTTCTTGCTGTGGCATCAGGTCATAAGGTGAGGATTTTAAATGGGGAATTAAATACTTAACTCTATAAGTGCATTCCATTATACAATCTTGATTTTAAATTTTATGCAGCTTTACATTTGGCACTACAACAAAAAAGGGGAGACACCCTCGCCAACCATTGTTTTAAGGACACGGCGATCATTGCGTGCTGTGCATTTTCACCCACATGCAGCCCAATTCCTTTTAACAGCAGAGGTAAATTGTTTTTGTTGCCTTTTAAATTTTCCTCCTTTCGATCACTTATCCTAATTTTTCTGATTAATGTGTTCTTAAGGTCAATGATCTCGACTCATCAGAATCTGCCATAACATTAGCAACATCTCCTGGATATGTGCAATATCCTCCCCCTACTGTATATTTTGCCGATGCACATTCTTCTGATCGTTCTAGCTTGGTGGATGGCCTTCCTTTGATGTCCTTTCCTCTGTTGATATGGCCTTCATTTTCTAAAGAAAATAGGAGAATGTCCATGCAGCGAATGGAAGCGGATCATGCTGTTGGGAGATTACAAAGAGTTGATCCTTCTGCTTCAGTGCGGCTTTTAACATATTCAACCCCATCAGGACAGTATGAACTCGTGTTGTCACCCATTGAACCTAATAGCTCGTCTCCAGTTCCA